AAATGGCTCCCTTTCTATGCAGGCACAGGGCTGCATGGAAAATGTGATCTCTCCATGCTGTTTCAGAAACAATAAAGATTGACACATGGCTGCCCACTCAAAAGCCCAGCTGCCTCCTTCGCCTCAATTTCAGCTTTCCTTCCTTCAGGCAGGGACTTCCTTGGGTTTCCCCAAAGCGGGGGATGCCCTGTCCACAGAGCACCCAGGACCTGACCCTATCATAGAACTGATAATGAAACCTGATTTATCTTTCTTCCTGAACCTTCCTGAACCTGCCCAGGACGGTAGCTCATGGATGTCAAGAACAGTGTTTATTATTTTATTAGTTTTTCTTCTATGTTCCTCATCCTTAATATAAATCTCAATAAATGGTTTTGAATAAATAAATGTATTGGGTGTCAGCTGCATTTAGAGGGAAGTTGGTAAGGATTTTATGCTCCAATGGGCTCTAAATCATTGGCGTACGTGGTTGAGAGGATAATGCCTTGTCTATATTGGGTGGTTTAAAAATTGATAATAATGGCGATGTGTGTTTTGATAGGATTTCCAATTTTCAAAGTATTTTCTTATAAAATATTTATTTTATTCTTTTCCCAACACCGTGAGGTTTCTGGATGGTATCACTGAGTTTGCAAATGCTTGTGGCTATTAAACAGTAGAGGTGGGGCTGGCAACTTGCCTTCTGAGTGTAAATTGGTGAAATCTTTCTGGTAATACATGTTAAAGCCTTAAGAATGTAGATACACTTTTTTTTTTTTAGAACAGTATACATAGTTGCCTGTCATTTTTATTTTTTCTCTTTATTTTTAACATCTTTATTGGAGTATAATTGCTCTACAATGTTGTGTTAGTTGCTGCTTTATAACAAAGTGAATCAGCTATACATATACATACATCCCCATATCTCCTCCCTCTTGCGTCTCCCTCCCACCTTCCCTATGCCACCCCTCTAGATGGGCACAAAGCACCGAGCTGATCTCCCTGTGCTATGCAGCTGCTTCCCAGTAGCTATCTATTTTACATTTGGTAGTGTATATATGTCCATGCCACTCTCTTCGTCCCAGCTTACCCTTCCCCCTCCCTGTGTCCTCAAGTCCATTCTCTACGTCTGCGTCTTTATTCCTGTCCTGCCCCTAGGTTCATCAGAACCATTTGTTGTTGTTGTTGTTTTTAGATTCCATATATATGTGTTAGCACACGGTATTTGTTTTTCTCTTTCTGACTTACTTCACTCTGTATGACAGACTCTAGGTCCATCCACCTCACTACTAATAACTCAGTCTCATTTCTTTTTATGGCTGAGTAATATTCCATTGTATATATGTGCCACATCTTCTTTATCCATTCATCTGTCGATGGACATTTAGGTTGCTTCCATGTCCTGGCTATTGTAAATAGAGCTGCAATGAATATTGTGGTACATGACTCTTTTTGAATTATGCTTTTCGCAGGGTATATGCCCAGTAGTGGGATTGCTGGGTCGTATGGCAGTTCTATTTTTAGTTTTTTAAGGAACCTCCATACTGTTGTAGATACACTTTGAATTGGAAAATACACTTCTAGAAATTTATCCAAAGGAAAAGAAATGTACAAAAACAATTTTGTACACGCACAAAACATCCCCCCTTATAAAAAAAGAATATTGGGAAAAAAATCTAAATATCAAATCATAAAGGCTTATTTAACTAGATCATGGTATAGATATTCAGCAAAATATTGTTTAATTTTAAAAATAATGTGATAAAACTTTTAATGATATGGAAACTTGTGAAAGAAAGAAGATAACTGGGTACAGAAAGTGGATGTGTTTGACCTCAATTCTAATATATGTATCTCCATATGTGCACAGAAGAAAAACTGGGAATATATATATGCACCCGGTATATTAGCAGTGGTTATCTCTGGGAGGATGATTCTAAAATTAAAAAATATTATTTTTGTAATAAAATAAAGTGTTACTAAAATACCTAAATAAAATTAAAAGTTATTACTTTTATAATTGAGGGGGAAAATCCCAATAAAAATTTTAACACCATAAAAACAATCACTTCACGGACACCTGGCGTTTTGGAATGTAAATACATGGACGGAGTCCCCACTAGGGTGAGGTACAGACATTGGTTATATGTGTCATGGAACAATTTTCAGTTGCTGACAGCCAGCCTCCCCGTGTTAATTAGTGGTTGTGTCTGAGCACGTGACCCATCTCTTGGGCAATAAAGAGGGGTTTCAACATTTCTTGATGTCCTGCTCACTTGTTTTTAAGAACTCCCTTCACTTCTCAGAATTCCATTATTATGTCCATCTTAGGGTTATTTTAAATCCTCTGGGGCAACTAGCTATTATTTGCCATTAAGCTTCTGACAAGTGGATGAGAGGCAATTTCATGGAAAAACCCCTCGCACTGAGCCTCAGAAAAGGGTGCGTCATCTTATTAAAACGGAGTTTAAGAAGTTCAGCTGGGTTCTCTCTGCGAAGCTGTGTACTTGTTTTACCCTGGCCCCTCAGCTTCTGGTCATCCTTGGGATACGAAGCAAAAGGAATTAGACGTTTAAAGTGTGGAAAAGAAGGAAAGAAGGTGGAGAAAGTGGGAGAATCTGGAAGTCCAAAGGGTGGTAAGGAAGAGCGGCAGTTGGTGGACTGAAGGGTTAAAGCCCCACTCTCTTGTCTATGGCCAGAAATCTGAGCATCTCTGCCACATCCTGAAACCACTCCCAGTGCCAAAGTCTCTCCCTCCCCTTACCTTGCTCCATCTTGTACTGGCACATCCTGTCCTTACCTGATTTAATCACCTGTTCTCACTCTTGTACGATATGTTCTTTCAAACTTCCTTCTTCATTCAAAGCATCTGGGCTACTTACACAGCAAGATAATTACTTGTCTCTCTTACTGGCTTATAGTTACTCTATTTTTTCTTCTTTCCCCTTTACTCAGCTTCCCTCAGGAGCCCTCTCTTAGCAGAAAAGCCACCTGTCCAATCAAAGATGTAACGGCCAGGGATCTGAGCTAGGCTGGATCTGTGGGGAGAGCAAAAAGTACTCCCAGTGCAGACTCCTTGAGAGAAAAAGGAAGGAGGAATGAGAACCAGGGTTCACCCCTTTAAATGCATTTTCGGAAAACTTCAGGATGACTCTAGTTTAGTGGCTGGAACACCTATCCATCCATCCATGCGTGCATCTTTCAAACGTCCACTGAGCGTCTCTGATGCAGCAGACATGGGCAGGGCCCTGATAATTTAGTCTTGTGCTAAAGCAACCCTCCTAGTACTTAGGCTGGTAGAGAAGAGAAAAGCTAGTATAACACTACAGTGTAAATGACAGAAGTACTAAGAAGGAGCTCTGCAGGGGCCATGAGAGCCAAGAGCAGGCAGATTTGACCTACTCAAGGAGGTTGGGGCTTCCCTGGGGAGGCTACCTGAGGGATGACGAGTAGAAAGTCCCTCTTCTCTCTCTATTCACAGCCCTGCGTATAAATGGGTATGAGATGCTCCTGGTTGCTTCTCCAATAACCATTTCCCCTTTGTTTTTGTACACAGAGCCCAGTTTTGCCAGCTATCAGCCGTCCAGTCCCAGCAGATGGGGTGTTATCATTCTACGGTAACTGTGGTAATCTCACTTCCCATTTATCTGTGATTGGTTTAGGACTGGTTATTCCACCCAGTTCTGGGCACTGAGACATGGCAGAAGTCTTCTGGGGTCTGCTGGGGAAGATTTTCCTCCCTGGTCAAAAGAGAGAGGGTGGAAGAGAAGGGTCCCCAGATAAAAAGAGTCTGGGTCCTTGGTTGTATGATGAGCTCCTAAAGCAAACCTGGGACTGGTTTTCTCAGGACTTTTTTGGTGAGTGTTACACGTCCATGGTTTAGTCTGCTTTTAGCCAGGCATCTGGCCTTTGGGGGATGATTTCATCAACGTCTGGCATGGACAGCTCAGTGGTCTAATTGGTGAAATGGGTATGTTTTCAACCCTAGTGGCCTACGGGTGGAAAAGGTGGATGTGAGTGAGAACTCTCAGTATGCTACTGTGAAGGGAAGGAACAAAGTAGCTTGTGGCTGGGATATTGCTTTATTGGGCACGTTCAAAGTAATCATATCCTCACTATTGCTTTATTTTTATTTATTTATTTATTTATTTTGCGGTACGCGGGCCCCTCGCTCTTGTGGCCTCTCCCGTTGCGGAGCACGGGCTCCGGACGCGCAGGCTCAGCGGACATGGCTCATGGGCCCAGCCGCCCCGCGGCATGTGGGATCTTCCCGAACCGGGGCACGAACCCGCGTCCCCTGCACCGGCAGGCGGACTCCCAACCACTGCGCCACAAGGGAAGCCCTGCTTTATCTGTTTGAATATCCTTTTGATTTTTTTCTTTTCAGTTCTCTGGACAATGGCAGATTCAGTGCTAGGAGTCATTAAAAGTGAAAGTCCAATAATTACTCTGCCTATCTGTTTTTTGATGTGCATGTTCTGTCCAAGAAAATACAGAATCTGATTGATTATTTAGCCATGTATGTAAATAGCTCCCACGTTGTGAGATATTTTCTCAAATTTGAGGAAAGTCATACATATTTGGCGCCAACCACTTGAAGTCCTATAAATGGACTAATCTGATTCAGTTTTCTGGATATTTTTCTAGCAAACAAAAGCAACCCGCATGTTCCAGGGTCTCGCACTGCAGACTCAGAGTTTTGGGAGCCAGGGAAACTATATCTTCCTGCGTCTCGGGCACAGGAAGACAGACTTGGCAGCTCCGGTGCCCAGGCTGTCATGTGCGCCATTTCCTCAATGTTTGTCTGGGAGGGGGTCTTCCAGGAAAAGTCATATCCTTGTTCTCAGTCTAGTCCTTTGCTTGGCCGTTCGCAAGTGTTATTTGGTAATGAAGAGTCCACGAGATGGTCAGGCCTTGGGGCTGGATGTGAACTGATGTGCAGTATGATCCAGAGGGAGGTCACACACTTTGGGACTGGCACACTTAGGGATCTGGACAGGTACAAAATAACCCTCATTCACCCGAGAGGCGACGCAAGCTGCAGAAAGAATTGGACAGTGGTTTCTAGAGCTGGTTCTGCCATTTCTCAGTGAGATCGATTTGGGCCCATCTCTTCCTCTTTCTGAGATGAATTTCTTTTAATAGAAACTGTCGAGAGGGTCATATCTGTCTTGCTTTCCTCAGCCAACTATTGTGAGGATGAGATGAATTAATGTTATGAAAATGCTCCATGGGACCGCAAGTGCTACGTGAGTGTGAACCAGTGGTCAGTAAGAGGTGAGTGCTCCCAGATCCTCCACGTCTCTCTGACTCTTTGAGTGGAGGTCTAATTCCAGATGGAGAAGGTTCTCCTTTCTCCCTGAATGTCTTTTGATTTAGGAACTCCCAAGTATCCTTGTTTTAGGACTCTTGGTTACTGAGGGGCTGCCATGTGCCACCATGGTGATGATATCCCTTTGGCTGGGAGCCCAGTGACCCCTGTGTCCCTCTTGGCTCCAGATTCAGGACAGGGTCATTTGCTCCACAAGGAGCCGCAGACCCCAGGGGCCATACAATGGAGGAAATGGGGCCCAAAGCCAATGCCAACCACTCCTTTATTTGCAGGTGTCAACACCAAGAGCTTTGTGGTGGGGTGGCTTCATATGTGTTCAGGGCTGGAGTCTGGGAAAAGCACACAAAGTTTGCCTTTGGTGCCCTTTTGCTTTCTTTTTCGAATTCTGTTCTCTCTCCTACTCCTCTCTGTCCTTCCCTCCACAGAGGTAATTTCAGGCTCCCTCTGCTTCCCAGAACTCTGCGTTGGCAGTACCAGCAAAGTCAAGAGGAGGTCCACACAACAGAACTCCCTACGGTGATGGAAATGGTCTATGTCTTCTCTGTCCAATACGGCACCCATAACCATATGTGACTGTCAAACATTTGAAATGTGGCCAGTGTGACCGAGGAATTGAATTTTTAATATTATTGAATTTCAATGAATTTACATTAAAATTACCACTTGAAGCCAGTGGCTAGTGTGTTCGACAGTGCAGGTCTGGAGCTCAATACCTTAATCATTTCAGTCCTTCCACTCCAATCACAACTAACCTGTCCTGCAGATGATGGATAAAGAAGATATGGGACATATATACAATGGAATACTACTCAGCCATAAGAAAGAATGAAATAATGCCATTTGCAGCAACATGGATGCAAATAGAGATTATCATACTAAGTGAAGTAAGACAGAAAGAGAAAGACAAATACCATATGATATCTCTTACATGTGGAATCTAAAATATGACACAAATGAACGTGTCTACAAAACAGAAACAGATGCCTGAACACAAAAAACAGACTTCTGGTTGCCAAGGGGAAGGGGGTTGGGGAAAGGATGGAGTGTAAAGTTGGGGTTAGGGGGGACCTTCAAGATGGTGGAGGAGTAAGACGTGGACATCACCTTCCTCTCCACAGATACACCAGAAATACATCTACATGTGGAACAACTCCTACAGAACACCTACTGAACGCTGGCAGAAGACCTCAGACCTCCCAAAAGGCAAGAAACTCCCCACGTACCTGGGTAGGGCAAAAGAAAAAAGGAAAAAAGAGACAAAGAATAGGGACAGGACCTGCACCAGTGGGAGGGAGCTGTGAAGGAGGAAAGGTTTCCACACACTAGGAAGCCCCTTTGTGGGCGAAGGCAAAGTATAGATTTTAGCACTTGTTATCATTGGTGTATTTGTTATTTGGTTTCGTTGCTCTCTTCTTTCTTTCTTTCTTCTATTACCCTTTTATTTTTAAATTTATAATATTGTTTTTATTTTAATAACTTTATTTCTTTTTATTTTCTTTCTTCCTTCCTTCCATTCTTCCTTCCTTCCTTCCTTCCTTTTTTCTTTCTTTCTTCCTTCCTTCCTTCCTTCTTCCTTTCTTCCTTTCCTCCTTCCTTCCTTCCCTCCTTCCTTCCTTCCTTTCTTTCTCTTTTGTTCTCTTTCTCTCTCTCTTTGTTTCTCCCTCCCTTTTCTTCTGAGCCATGTGGCTGACAGGGACTTGATGCTGTGGCTGGCTGTCAGGCCTGGGCCTCTGAGGTGGGAGGGCAAAGTTCAGGAAATTGGTCCACCAGAGACCTCCAGGCTCCATGTAATATCACACGTCAAAAGCTCTCCCAGAGATCTCCATCTCAACGCTAAGACCCAGCTCCACTCAACAACCAACAAGCTACAGTGCTAGACACCCTATGCCAAACAACTACCAAGATAGGAACAAAACCCCACCCATTATCAGACAGGCTGCCTGTTATAATAAGGTCACAGACACCCCAAAATACACCACTGGACGTGGTCCTGCCCACCAGAAAGACAACGTTCAGCCTCATCCACCAGAACACAGGCACCAATCCCCTCTACCAGGAGGCCTACACAACCCACTGAACTAACCTTAGCCACTGGGGTCAGACACCAAAAACAATGGGAACTATGAACCTGCAGGCTGTGAAAAGGAAACCCCAAGCACAGTAAGTTAAGCAACATGAGAAGACAGAGAAATACACAGCAGATGAAGGAGAAACATAAAACCCCACCAGACCAAACAAATGAAGAGGAAATAGACAGTCTATCTGAAAAAGAATTCAGAGTAATGATAGTAAAGATGATCCAACATCTTGGAAATAGAATGGAGAAAATGCAAGAAACGTTTAAAAAGGACCTAGAACTGAAGAGCAAACAAACAAGGATGAACAACACAATAAATGAAATTAAAAATACTCTAGAAGGAATCAAGAGCAGAATAACTGAGGCAGAAGAACAGATAAGTGACCTGAAAGATAAACTAGTGGAAATAACTATGGCAGAGCAGAATAAAGAAAAAAGAAAGAAACGAATTGAGGACAGTCTTAGAGACTTCTGGGACAACATTAAATGCACCAACATTCAAATTATAGGGATCCCAGAAGAAGAAGAGAAAAAGAAAGAGAATGAGAAAATATTTGAAGAGATTATACTTGAAAACTTCCCTAATATGGGAAAGGGAATAGTCAATCAAGTGCAGGAAGCACAGAGTCTCAAATAGGATAAATCCAAGGAGAAACACGCCAAGACATATATTAATCAAACTAACAAAAAAAATAGAAAAAAAAATAAAAGCAGCAAGGGAAAAATAACAAATAACAGACAAGGGAATCACCATAAGGTTAACAGCTGACCTTTCAGCAGAAACTCTGCAAGCCAGGAGGCAGTGACAAGAAATATTTAAAGTGGTGAAAGGGAAAATCCTACAACCAAGATTACTGTACCCAGCAAGGATCTCATTCAGATTAGATGGAGAAATTAAAACCTTTACAGAGAAGCAAAAGCTAAGAGAATTCAGCACCACCAAACCAGCTTTACAACAAACGCTAAAGGAAATTCTCTAGGCAGGAAACACAAGAGAAGGAAAAGACCTATAATAACAAACCCAAAACAATTAAGAAAATGGTCATAGGAACATACATATTAATAATTACCTTAAATGTAAATGGATTAAATGCTCCAACCAAAAGACATAGACTGGCTGAATGGAGACTAAAACAAGACCCGTACATATGCTGTCTACAAGAGACCCACATCAGACCTAGGGACACATACAGACTAAAAGTGAGGGGATGGAAAAAGATATTCCATGCAAATGGAAATCAAAAGAAAGCTGGACTAGCAATTCTCATATCAGACAAAATAGACTTTAAAATAAAGGCTATTACAAGAGACAAAGAAGGACACTACATAATGATCAAGGGTTCAATCTAAGAGGAAGACATAAAAATTGTAAATATTTATGCACCCAAAATAGGAGCACTCAATACATAAGAAAAATGTTGACAGCCAAAAAAGGGGAAATCGACAGTAAAGCAATCATAGTGGGGACTTTAACAACCCACTTTCACTAATGGACGGATCATCCAAAGGAAAATAAAGAAGGAAACACAAACTTTAAATGATACATTAAGCAAGATGGACTTTTTGATATTTATAGGACATTCCATCCAAAAACAACAGAATACACATTCTTCTCAAGTGCTCATGAAACATTCTCCAGGATAGATCATATTTTGGGTCACAAATCAAGCCTTGGCAAATTTAAGAAAATTGATATCATATCAAGTATCTTTTCCGACCACAGTGCTATGAGACTAGATATCAATTACAGGAAAAAATCTGTAAAAAATACAAACACACAGAGGCTAAACAATACACTACTGAATAACCAAGAGATCACTGAAGAAACCAAAGAGGAAATAAAAAAACACCTAGACACAAATGACAATGAAAACAAGATGACCCAAAACCTATGGGATGCAGCAAAAGCAGTTCTAAGAGGGAAGTTTATAGCAATACAATCCTACCTCAAGAAACAAGACACATCTCAAATAAACAACCTAAACTTACACCTACATCAATGAGAGAAAAAACACAAAAAATCCAAAGTTAGCAGAAGGAAAGAAATCATAAAGATCAGATCAGAAAAAAATGAAAAAGAAATGAAGGAAACAATAGCAAAGATCAATAAAACTAAAAGCTGGTTCTTTGAGAAGATAAACAACAATGATGAACCATTAGTGAGACTCATCAGGAAAAAAAGGGAAAAGACTCAAATCAATAGAATTAGAAATGAAAAAGGAGAAGTAACAACTGACACTGCAGAAATACAAAGGATCATGAGAGATTACTACAAGCAACTATATGCCAATAGAATGGACAACCTGGAAGAAATGGACAAATTCTTAGAAAAGCACAGCTTTCTGAGACTGAACCAGGAAGAAATAGAAAATATAAACAGACCAAACACAAGCACTGAAACTGAGACTGTGATTAAAAATCTTCCCACAAACAAAAGCACAGGACCAGATGGCTTCACAGGTGAATTCGATCAAACATTTAGAGAAGAGCTAACACCCATCATTCTCAAACTCTTCCAAAATGTAGCAGAGGGAGGAACACCCCCAAACTCAGTCTACGAGGGCACCATCACCCTGATACCAAAATCAAAGATGTCACAAAGAAAGGAAACTACAGGCCAATATCACTGATGAACACAGATGCAAAAATCCTCAACAAAATACTAGCAAACAGAATCCAATAGCACGTTAAAAGGATCATACAAGATGATCAAGTGGGATTTATGCCAGGAATGCAAGGATTCTTCAATATAGGCAAATCAATCAACGTGATAAACCAT